CAGATGATAGGAACCCCCTAAACCCTAACCCCTAAACCCTAAACCCTGCACCCCTAAACCCTAAATCCTAAACCCCTAAACCCTAAACCCCTAAACCCTAAACCCTAAACCCCTAAAACCCTAAACACCTAAACCCCTCAACCCTAAACACCTAAACCCCCAACCCCTAAACCCCTAAACCCCTAAACCCTAAACCCTAAACCCTAAATCCTAAACCCCTAAGCCCCGAAACCCCTAAACCCCTAAACCCTAAACCCCTAAACCCAACAACCCGTCACACGTCTTCCTGAAGGGATGGCAGCCGTGAGTCGGCGCCGGTTGTTCAGCGACTTAAACAAGATCACTAAGACTAGGGTTTAGGGTTTAGGGTTTAGGGTAATATAAAACGAGGTTCCTGAGTAGTAACCTTTTGCCCCTTTTTTTGAAACCCAATATTAGGAACAAAAAGGTACCCTTAGTAAAGAGGGGTCACTCAGGAACCTAGAAAAGCCTTATGTAATAGTTAGAACAGGATTCTAGGGGTTCATTATTATAGCTATAGTATGACAGAGCCCAAAACCCTATTCTAATCAATAAGGCCCCTACAGTAGGACGATATGGTTTTGCATCAGAGGATGGGAACTTAGTCCGTAAGATACTGTCGATGATAGAAGTCCTGCATTACCCCAACCAATAGATATACCATAATTCCCGTAGCTTCGGGTCCTTAAGGGTAATGCAGGATGTATATCACCAACTGTATTGATAGGTATAGCTATCGCAATCATAACCCTAATTGCTTCGTCCCGGATCCTTTTAAGTAGAAACGAACCCACGGCAGGTCGCTGGCGACGTGGTCGCTTCTTTGGGCCTGGACCTGTCCCCCGTCTGAGATCTTAGGGATAAATTTTGAGGTTACTCTCAGGGATCTACACTTAAAGGCGAGGGGTTAGTATAAGGTTGCTACAAGGTTGCTATAAGAAGTCCCCACAAGCATAGTAACAGGGGTCATCATAAAGGGATGTCGGTGTGTTTTGGGGCCGCGGGTTGGTAGCCTAAGTTGCGGATCTAGGTCTGAAGCCTTTGGGTTTGACTAGGGCTTCGGGCTTTGGGCTTAGGGTTTAGGGCTTAGGGCTTACAGCTTAAGGATTAGGGTTTAGGGCTTT